AGAGAGAGAGAGAGAGAGAGAGGGGGAGAGTATAGTAATGAGTGAGAGAAAAGAGCATGGCAGGAAAAGTACGAAATCAAGCTATTTATTTCACTTATTCATATTTTGGATCATAAAGATCTGTCTTAATTCTTTCTTATTATTTATGATATCGATACATATATGTTTAAGTCTTTAAAGAGGTCAAACAGAGTTGCATTGAAACAATTTTTGAAATTGACTAATTATTAATCGTTAACTATACTCTATGAAGGAAACACTTAAAGTTGCAGAACTTTAAAATTGGTCATTGATCAAATAGATCATTAATTAATTTATCGTGTACAATTTTTATTTCACTATATCAGTCTCATTTTTTATTGAAAGAGAAATTATCCGACGCGATAGCAAATGAATAAATAAAATAAGAATGACATTTCAAAATATTATAATTTTTTTTTGTCAAACTCAAACAATGTTGAATATAATACAGAAACCAAAAAGCGATATTGTTGTTAATGCAGAAATGGATATAGCCGTTGAACGTAGAACATTGTTCTTATCATCAAAAGAATCACCATAAGCTTATAGTGATAATCACTTCTTGATTTATTATACAATGCGCAATTGATTGTAGATAGTACCGAAACAATGATGATAAGCCATAGAATGGGATCAAAATAATGAAAGATCACAGGGAAATAAATGATAGAAGAAAGAGAAGGAAGGGAAAGAGAAGAACTTTCCGTAATATGAACAAAATGAAAATGAAGAAGGGAATTGGATAATGATATAAAAAATATTTTTATAACATATTAAGGTAGAAATATTAAAAATTTTAATCGTGGTCGTATGTGTTAATTATGAAAAATGTTGACAAGAAAGGAAATGATTGTAACAGTGTTTTTCCTTTTACCAGTAAAGAATAATGATATTATCGCTATCTTTTATTATTAATATGCTATTTTAACTGATAGCAGTTAAATCTAATCTATTACACTTTTTTTTTCTTTCCTTTTTTTGATTTTAATAGACTCTGTTGTGAAGGAATTTTATCAATGTTTGAAATTTTAATAACAACCGTTAGCTTATTTCATATTTCACATTCCAGTACTTTCTCGTTCTTCATTGATTCATCAATAAGGAATGCAGTTTGAATTTATCACTAATTTTCGTCTAAATATTATCATCAATTCCACTTCTCATTAATAGCAGTACATTTATATGAATTGCTTAATTTCATTTTTTTTAACTTTTTTTTTGTTTGTTTTAGTTATCAAATGTGTTCGATGATGTTTCATGAAAGTAATACTTAGCTATGTAAACAATTTCGTACAATGTATTGTATTGAAATTATCAAATGGTGGTTGATGTTCTTTTTTATTTGACTGGACAATTGACGCAATCATATTTTTATCGGTAGTTCATTCAGGCTACAGACAAGTAATTCGTAGATAATTTTTAATATTACGAGAGTACTAAATTTGCAGAGAGATAAGAGGAAAATTTAACAGAACGATCAATTTCATTTCGCTTTCACTGGCTTCTTGCTCTAAAATTCAATTAAATTAAGATTGAATAGATAAGTTCGTTTGGAAAAAAAGCAAAAAAAAAACTTTGATTTCACTTTATCGACTACATACCATTCCTGTTATTCGGATGATGACCCAATCGTAATTTCTTTTTTGTAATAATTATTTTGCGGAAAGCGTATTACCATCATAGTGATAAGTAGAAATCCTATCGATAGCTAAAAATTTTTTAACTAACCGTTGGTGGTGGCGCAGTAGCTTTGCCACCTGCCGCACCGGATGCCTTCCGGCTGGCTTTCGTATCTTCCGCTGGAGCATTTCCTGCTTCTTCGTCTGGAGCCACATTTTGTTCGGTAGCTCCAGCCGATGGCCTTTCTTCGTCTTCAACCTCATCAACACCAGGCACATTGAGTGGAATTGGTTGAACTGGTGGTTTTGCAGCATCACCATCTGCTTTCACTTGCTCTACGTATTTAGGCGGTTCTAAATTTTTACGGATCTGTTCCAGTTCTTCGTTTTCACGTCGGCCCCATTCTGGTGGTGGACGAGCTGTTCCGTGAGCAATTTTTGGCGGCTTCTTAATTACTGGCTACAAAAAATAATTTTAAGTAGACTGCATCATTTGCAGAAGTAGAATCCCATATCTTAAAATATTCATTCTAATCAGTGTATGAATAAAGGAATAGCATAATAAAAGATAGCAATATTACTTTATGTCTGGTTGTAAAGTTATGAACGACAGTCGGATACTTGACAACCTCTCAAACAGGATGCGGTAAATGCGGATTACTTTTTTTTGATAAATAATTCTATCTAATTTCAGAATGATTTAGCTCTCTCTGTTTGATACATTTTATAAAAAATATTTTAACAATATTCAAAATGCATGTAAATAAAATCATTAAAGAAAATTAAGAAAATTAATTAATATTACGTGTTCGTAAAGATCTCGCCGATCGCCATATGAGCGTCTATCAATCTGACGATCGAATTTTGATACGACATTGATCTTTGGCTAAAAAGAAATTTTTAACGATTCAGACTGAGCATAACTGTAATCCTCAAGTCTGCAATCAACATATTTATTTACTTACCTATTAAATCAACTGATTTACTAATTGTTAATTGACTAGTTTGTTTATTTCATAATTCATTAATTCAATTTCATTTTTGAAGATCGACGAACCGGATGTATGGAAGCAGCTGCTTCTTCAGGATCCAAACCTCTTTGTAAAGCTTTGTTACGAGCAACCTGACGTTCACGCTCGTGCAACTCTTTCAACTGAAATTTATTCACTTGAATAATTTTTCAGCATATTTTGCTATGCTATTAATATTTTCTTTCGAAAGCTTAAAAATTGATTTATAAGCAAAATAGCCTACATCATATTCCTGGCGCTCGTGTCGTTTCTCCAAATCATACTTTTCACCTTCCAATTTTACAATACGTGAATGTAACTGTTTGATTTTTTCCTTTAGATCGTTTGGTAATAAATCGGCAATATTGCCTGCACGACGTTGAATTGCTTCCATAAATGATTGCTTTGCCGCTTTTTTCCCTTCATCACTCAGTTCTTGCTTCTGCTGAAAAATTTTGCAAATTTTCGAATTAATTCAAATTCTTGAAATCTCACTTCATAAAACTGATAGACATCCTTTGAAATAAAATAGTCCAGTAAACTTTAAAAAAAAGGGAAAAAAAGCGTTATTGATATTAATGTTAGTATT